ACGTTCACCTATATACTTTCATGCAATTCCGAAGACGAAGTTATTCTATTTTGCGCATACAAACTGCAAAACTTTTATAATAAGCAAATATTGTTATGACCTGACGCAAGAAACCGGTAAAAAAACTGTAATTTTTTAGCTTTTCTTCGTTTTTAACATAAACTCGTGAAGTCTCATCTTTGTTTCGATGTGTACTTAAATCGTGGAAAAGGATTTATTATTCTATTCAACTAAAAAAAAGATTTCAATGTGTAAAATAATAATTTTTGGTCGGTAAAACAGACGAGCTTTTGGATCCCTTTAACGCAATTAGTAAGCAAGAGGCGACAGATATTGGAGCGACAAACACAAGCTAAAATTAAAGACGCGAAATAGAACAAAGAAAATAACAGATTTATTATAATGGACGGAGCCGAGGCTCCTCACGAGTAATAATAATGATGATAACCGCGCGGATAGTCGGCTGCGATAAAAAACGCGGGAGCGAGACTGGGTGTTAGACACGGGGCGCGAAACCCCGGAAGCCGCTGTCGGCCCGTTATATTGGCCGTAATCCTCTCTCGGCGTTAAATACGCCTCGCACCGCGGAAATGACAATTAGTATATGTTTCAACAGGAATTCGGGCAATAACCCGATCCGATTCTCGATATCAGCCAGTTAAAGACGACCGTATAGCTTGCTATTATTACTTAAATATTATTACGCAACCTAATGCTAACAGGCAGTTCGCGAAACACGCACATTCTTTATTTCCGGACAAACGTGATACGCATACATGACGCTCAACACGCACTCAAGCACTCCGTGCGATAATCGCGAGGAAAGCTCTTACAGAACGTGCATACAATTTCTAGACGCGACGATTAACTAACCAAGAATAGGACACATTTTTCGCGACCGACACACACACTCGGACGACAGACATATCATACAATCGAGACTTACGCTCTAAACGAGCGAAAACCGATGCATATGCAATATACGGAATTCGAATTTCCAGAGAGACGTCACGCGGTTAAGCAAACCCGATATTAATGTCTCTATTCGCGAAAACCGTAACTCTAAAGGCCCGTCTACAATGGCAGTAACAAGGCTGTAGGAGTAGGAGAGTATACTGTTTTTAGTGATGTTTAGACGGGGAGTAAAGAAATGGGCAATTCCCATTTGCTCTTAAAAGTATAACACTCGGTCTAGATATACTATGTCTATGGAACGCACCCTATAATATCGGGTGCACCCGGGTGGGGAATCGGAACACAGCCCTGCTTGCGTTTAAGCGGTGTCTACAATAAGAATTTAAGCCTTAAGTCGTAAGAAATTAACCAATCATATTCGATTATTCTTCTCACATTCAACTGTGATTGATCAATTCCTTACGGCTTAAGGCTTACTACACCTATTGTAGACATCGCTTAAAAGCTCCGGGGCTCGGATCGCTTGACGACGTGGCCGTGACGCGAAAATTACACCAAAGAAGCGAGCTTAGCCCGTACGCCAAAGCACGAAATCACGGTGACGACGACAGAACGATACAATTCCGGGCGCGATCGCGCGTGGCTAATTAGGCTCAAGGATAACCTCACCGGTACGCTACTCTCCGCCGGGGCTGCCAAGGGAGGGAATCGATGACGTCCTCTCGTCTCTGACCCCTCCTGTGATCACCGGGGTCCTCTCCGCTCGCTCACGCTGCAACGCTCGCTCTCGCAACTCGCTCAATCTCGACACGCTCTATCTCGCCGGGATGCTTGTGCCAGTTTAACCCCGGGACCCAGGATGCTCGCGATCCAGGATTGATACCATGGGGCCAGCCGGGGGCCGGGGCTGCGCACTCGGGGTGCGTATTACCGCGACCAATTACGCGCTACCACGCATTGGCGGCCGGCGGGCGGCGCGCTCACGATCGTGTCGGGGATGCGCGCGCCCCCGGTATCGCGAACGATAATTTGATGGGGCCCGATCAGCGGAGCCATCGCGGGGTCCGGGTAGGACTTCTTGACCGAAAATATGGTTGCAACCCTCGCTGCTGTCTTTTCCTGTGGGCTGCGTCCTGCAGCGGCAGCATTAATAAGGAACTTCCAAGTAGAACGGCTCTACACGGTCCTGGGTCCTTGCGCGAGGATTCACTCGCTATTCCGTGCGTTGCGCATCACGCGTGCGGGTCCTGATCTCTTCGTGACGTCGAAGGATTTTTTGTTGGTTGTTTTGACTATTGAAATGCTGGCTCATCTTCCTTTAAAGGTTGCTCAAGATCGTCGATGGATGTTTCTGGTTGCCGCAAATCGGTCTTCCGTCTTCTCCGATGAGGCTCCCAAAATAAATATTCATACGAAAGAAAGAAAATAGTAAACGAAATTAATATAACGAACATAATCTTGATTAATAATGCCTCTCTAGAGACTGCGATACGGTTCTCGCAATTTTCTGACTGGCGCGGCCCTTTAGCTCGCGCTTTGCGGTCGGAGAAGGATCCGGCAGACGCGCGCGAGACGACAACATCACATATATACATATATATATTAATAATAAATATAATTGAGATCTTTAAGAGTTTCCCCTATTCCTTTTTTTTATTATTACCAAACTGTTTCCTTTAATTAACTATCAATATCTCATTTAACCCTTGTGTGTGTTTCCCAGTGAAAACAACCCCGGCAAAGCGCTCTAAGTGCTGGGCGAAACACATCCGCAACCGGGAAAATAAAAAGATCCGGAAACTCTTGGCTCGGGCGTCCGCGGATCCTAGCTTTACTATAGACTATAAGAAATTAAATCTAGATGAACATTCGTTTAAACTAAGAGTTCAGCGTTTATCCAACACACAAATACACACTCTTGTCCCTCTACTTCTTCTCCTCATTCTCATTCTTCTTATTCACTCGTTTCTTCCCCCGAGCGTCCTCATTCACCTGTCTCTCTTGAGCATCAACCGTCGAAAAATCCTACTCCCCCTCCTCTCTCCGAATATTCACCTGCCTGCCCTGAATCTCATCAACCGTCGAGAAATCCTACCCCCCCTCCTCCCTTCGATTATTCCCCGTCTCTCGACCCTCAACCGTCGAGAATTCCCACTCTCCTCTCCTCGTTCCCGCACGATTTTGAGGAAGCCCTCTAGGACTTCCTGGAGGAGTTACCGGACTTCAAAGAGGAACCGGAAGATCCCGAACAGAGATCTTTCAATACCGAAGGAGAGTCTGAGTTCCACGAAGAGCAGACTAGAGAAAACTGATTCAGATATCTCCTGGAATAGGTCCCTCCATATCACGCTCCCCTTTCTGAAGAAACTTATCGCGTAGACCCAAACCCAGCAGACCTTGAGCTATTCCGTCATATCCTTAATGTAAGTCCTCCCGGGTCTATTATCCCGTTTTTCATCCCAGGTCATCAACTTCCAATAGACGTTCCTGTAGAAGCCTTTTGGATGAAGTTTCCTCCCCCCTTCACAATAGAATTTGAAAATGCTCAATAATCCTCTTAACCTTACCTCCTTATTCTCATCCCTAGTCATTTTATCAATTATATAACTATAACTTATTAAAAGTATTTATTGTAAATTACCAACCGGAATTTAAATTTTAATTATTCCCCTCTTCATTCCGGTTGATGTCCTCCGTATTTATTGTAACCGTGAGAAACTTTTTCTTTACCTTCACATACACACATTCACACAAATTAGACCTTAAGCAAAATTATTTTATAATTACGGTTTTATAGATTGAACTAAATGTATCACTATTAAATTTTTATCTCTTCAAAATCTTTCATTTTTTTTTAATAACTGTAACATTTAAATTTTAAATTCAAGTAATTTATTAACCCGATCTCCTTCCTGTTATCCGAAATCGCACAAGGTCCCGAATAAGTATTCAATTTCTTTATCAAAAAAGGAATCGTCGAACGAACGGCCTATCGATAGCGTAAGAATGACCCTTCCGATCGTCGACCTGTCTGGGGCCCTGGTCTGTTCGTTCGACTCTAAGACACGCATCGTCTAACGTTTGTCTAGAAGTAAGTAGGTTATGCCCTCCCGCTGACTCTTCGTTCCATTGAGTCTGGATGTAACACTGTTAATAAAAAAGGACTTTTTTGCAGAAGAAACCTGCAATAAAACTATATTTATTATTTTTAAAATAAATAAAAATTGAAATTATGTGTAAAAATTAAAAAATATAAAGTTTTATTGTTTGTTAAAACGATATTTTAGAATTTATTATTTATATAAATTATAGCAATTTTTTTTCAACTTGATTAATTTTATTTCGTAACATATAAAGCTTATTCTCTCCCTCTCTCTCTCTCTCTCTCACTCTCTTGAATAATTTTATAATGATTTAAATATCACAAAATTAATAGCTTCAAACTCACTTCTGCGTCTCTGGTACAATTTCTTACACTGAATAATTCATCTCTTCGTCCAGGATTACAGTAATTATTCCCAGCTTGGTCAAATGCCAATCAAAAAACATATTGAGATAGTAACAATCAAGTTAGAAGAGTCAAAACTAGACTGAGTAGAAATGAAAGAAACCGTGACAGTGATCGTAAATTTTAGTGTGTATGTGTATAGGAAACATACTGATGATGCATCGACATGATGGTGACGTGTTTCGTGCAGGGTGCAAAGACCTTTACCCACCTTCACCGATTTATACGTGAGCGCTCGTGCTCCCTGAATTAGCGATTAATCTTTCACGACCATAGCTGAACTTGCGTATCGCTTGATAGAAGATAATAAAAGAGAAATAGCTTGTAAAATTAAGCTTCAAAGTATCGTTCATTCATACTTAATGGGCTCAAAATGACAACGTGCAATCATTCCGTCTCGTGCGGCCTTCGATCCGGTAAATCGGCGAAGAATCCCGAAAAGAACATGGAATCAAGCTCGTCATACCCTCGTGTTATGTGAACGTAACTCTTTGTACGAGCTTTGCCAAGTAATTTCCGAGATATGTAATATTACCAGAAAATTTTTCTTCCTTAATTTCTTTTTATACCTGTGCCCATGGATACCGTCGAAGCGAACAACCCTCGGAAGCAAGCGACGACCAATGCTTTGATGATTCGCTATCACGCGTACGGTCGTCGCGTTCGCACGATGCTCTACCTCGGTGGTGTTTTGCAAGTTCGAACACATTCCGCGATCCGAGCGTATATCGCTGGATTTTCGGTAATCCTTATGTGCTTGAGTCATTGTATTTTTCTGATAAACCTCAGTCGGGACCACGCTGACAATTTGATATTGATGGTGAAATACTTCAGCCAGATGACTAGCTTCATCGCGCCTGCGTTAATGGTATTACGTGTAATATATCCTATACATCTATATCAGAAGACCTCATTCTTGCAAGCTCCATTGTATTTTGTTATATTCAATGGAATATAAATCCTAGATTCCTTCTTTATTGCTTTCTTCTGGTAAAAATGCTCGCAATCTGATGATAGTGTTTATATATTCGAGAATCTCTTCAAAGTTCTTTTTAAAAAAGTTTCTGAAAAAAGTCGCGAAGTGAACAATTGCAAAATTCTTTAGCAGAAGAAATGTTTGACCCTTATTCAAAGATTAGTAACATATATGTATATATTCTTTTTTTTTAAGTGAAATATTAGCCAATCCATTCAATCAGCAGGGAAATCGACACTAGTTCTCTTTTTTTAGTCCGCCTGCTTTCTGATCAAACGCAAAAAACTGATCGAGCTCCATGAAACGCTGAACGATCTCTTTGAACAGGAACTGGAGCGGGATCGGGAAGCTGCTCTCGCGACTTTATACGCGTTCGATAGACCATTTTGCATAGTATTCTTCACCCTCGCATCGACAGTCTTGTTGTACGTCTGTCCACCGCTGATATCCATAATTCGTCAGATTTTTCATCATACCGAGCCCAGGAGGTATAGATTGCCGTTCCCGGCGAAGTTTCCGTGGACGGTTCCGATCAACGGCGGTTTCCTATTCTATCTACATTTTTTATATCATTTGTTCCTCGGCTGGTGGATAGTTTTCACCATCAATAGCGTCGACAGCCTCTTCGGCTTCTACGCGTTTCAGATTTCCTCGATACTGCATGCCATGTCCGTTAAACTGGGGTCAAATCTACGATCTCGGGGGACGTTTTCGGAAGTATTGGAGACGTGCGTGCGGACGCATCGCCGATTATTCCAATGCAGTTATATGCTGGAGGATATTTGGCAACTGATAATCCTACGGATGCTTCTCGTCAACAGCATACTTATCTGCGCATTGATCTTTGAAGCGAGCCAGGTACTTGTCAGAAATAAATATTGTTGGAGCTAATACGCTGAGAATATATTCCGCGAAATTAAGGAGAAATTGAACGGATCAGTTACGTCAAAAGTTAATAAATCTAATACATTTCGAGATTCATGAATGTGACATTGCACACATACACACACACACAAAATACTTTTTGCCTTCTAAAATATAAAATTAATAATTAATTTATGAGTTAAAGTAAATATTTGCTCTGTAAAATAAAGATTTTTATTTTCGTGAATTTTTGTCTACAATTACTATAAAATTTTTGTGTTGCAATTATTATAAAAAAATTAGTTCATTATAAGATAATATTTATAATTTTGAGATTAAATTATATTCTACAAGACATGTTCAAAATCAGTGCACTTTGCGCATTAGATAATAATAAATAAATGTAATAAAAAAAATAACGTATAATAATAAATATTAAACTTAAAATTACGCTTTTGCCCCAATCGGACAAATAATCATAACAGATATACAAATGTACTCGTTATTAATCGTACTAAAATAAATAAATAACAAATTATTCTAAATAATATTAATATAGGAAAATACAAAATACCATACAATCTCGCATGCAAATCTTATAAAAAAAATTTAATATATCAAATATAATATAAAATATATAGAAATAACACATTACTTAATTCGCGAGAGATTGTGATTTCAGTTAACAGATATAACAATGAACGTCTTTGTGTTCATCTTTTACATAGCATTAAAGCTCTTGCAAACGTTCATGTATGCCTGGTACGGCAATTTCATCACAAGCGCGGTAAGATTTGTGTGATTATCTCTAGATAATTGACTATTATAATTTACAATTAATTGTTTTGCATATGTTTACATTTAGAGCGAACAATTTCGCGAGGGAATTTATTTTAGCGATTGGCCAGATTCTAGTCTCGATCGTCACGTAAGAGCAAACGTTATTATAACGATGATGCAAAAGCCGATGACTATAAAGGCACTAAAAGTGTCTGCCGTAAATGTCAACATGTTTACTAATGTAAGTATTTAAATAACAAATTTGCTGAGCAATTCTCAGCAAAAGCTTAAATTCTCGAACAAATCACTTTCGTATTTTTCTGCGATCAATATAATATATAAGCAAAATTTTATTTTTTGTCCCTACAAAAGGAAAAATTGAAATAAATTTAAAAAAAATAGGAGGAAAAGGGAAGCAAGAGATTCAAAACTTCTAATCAGAAAGATTAAAATAGCTTTAAATAAAATTTAAAAACTGTAAATTTTACTCACTGGCGATATTCATAATATTAATCCATTGAAATGCTATTATTTTTTACGTAATTGCTCATCTTTAAGTCTATGATTTTTTCATGAAGAATAAAAATATTTTTGTAATAAACAATAATCTGTTTGTTCAGATTTATTAATTATAATTAATTAGTTCTGTATCGACCTAATTAGTTATTTTTATTGACAGATCGTGAATACTGCTATGTCCTATTTCTTTCTCTTGCAATCTTTGGATGAAGGTAGATAGAGGTAAAAGCCGCGTATCCGTTGTTTTGTAAAAACTAGCGAGTATATATGAAATTACCACGAAATATTGAAGAATATAAAATTAAGAGATTCGAAGAGCTTTTGAATTCATCGTAGATAAGTAAAAGAGTTCCATTAAAATTATTGTAAAATAGGAAAAAAAATTGTATTTTTCTGGAGCAAAATGTGTATAGAAATATATATATATATCAATGGTCGAATAGCTCGTCCGGAAAGATAAAATTGCTGTAGAAAATGCTTTAAGTATTTATATAAGATTGTTAATTAACAAGCAATAAAAAAAGTTTATGATTATTGAGATTAGATTCAGAAAGATTTTTCTGTTCCATCAAAATTGATCTGATATGGTGGTTTTTATAGTATTTTTTGCGCAGATTTTCAATCTGTTTGTCAAATTGATATGAAGGGCAGGGTTTTGAGTAACATGCATTTAAAATTCAAAAAAATTAATTTTTGGAAAATAATTAATTAATATAAAATAATTAATTTTAAACTATAAGGAGGTTCTTCTGTCCAGATAAAAGAAATTGTTCAAAAATTTTATAAATTAATTAAAAATTTGAATAATTTTAAACATTAATAATTTTTAACAAAATTTATTAAATAATATTAGTGTCCTATTCAGATTTTCGCCGCTATATAAGGTATATTTTAGAGAGGAGAAGCGCGATGTAAAAATAGTATATTAATTATAATAATTTTTATTTATTATTAAATAAAATTAAATTAAAAAATTTATTGTACAATAATAAATATCGAAGATAAAAACAAATTTCAAAAATATATTTCAATCTAACTTATCGACGAAATATCAAGAATTAGTTGCGAAATGCCCCATCGTGGCGACAGCGTGTTGTTGTTCTTTAAAAAAATTGAACAAAGGTTATGTTATAATTTCGAGCTATCCGAAAATCCAAAGCAGATTTACAAGCACGTTTACAAACAAATTAAAACTTCAGAAGAATTTCCATTATGTATTACATAATTTGAAATTAATAATGATAGAGCGATAATAGAAATAAAACGAGAATGAGCGACCACATTTAAAATAGGTACGCTCGTTTTTATAACGTATTATTTATAACATTTGAAGATAAACAATTATATATATATATATATATATGTATGTATATATACCACGCATACATATTATTTATATATATAATTTAAATAAATATTTTCGTATGGAACATGAGCTATCTTTTTTAAATAATGTAATGTCAAATTGCATCTGTGCATCAAATCGATAGGTTTACAATTGTCTAAGATAAATTTTTTGTAAGATAAATTTTTACCATTTACTATAGATATCTGTGATCCTCAAAATGTTGCATGAGATTTTATTGTCACTTTGGGGATGCTCAACCAGTGTACCGCAGATGATAGAGACAGATGTAAGTATATATATATATATATTGTATCAACAAGTAAAATAAGATATTAGCTATAATTGAAATATATTATCTCTTTACATATATTACTACTCTTTCTTATAGTCTATAGATCTTGATAAATATTTACATCCTGGGGAAAGAGCGTTACTCAATAAAATATTAGATATTGTGAAGGAATGCAATGTCATACGAAGTTTTATACACACAGTGAACAGCGAGGATACAAAAGATCTCGGTAATATTTAAACAAAATATTTTGTACAAATCGTATAATTATTCTATGTGTCATTTAATCCCTTTACATTCCGAAGAATATGTCACTCCCGGCTTGTACATACGTGCTCTGTGCGATGGGATGGATCAGGCGCTCGAGCCATTTCGCGAAGAAATAGTTGAGCTAGAGCGTACAGTCTTAAACGACAGTCATACCCCTTTGTCGTTAATTCTCTGCAACGTTGAAAAATACACTTGTTTATTTTCTCTTCTGCATTCTATTATTCGTGAGGTGACTATATATTTCTATACAGTCAGTGTTTGCATATACAGTTTAAGGAGAAATCTAAGTAATATAAAACATTCTTGTGATCTTAAATGAATAAAAACGAATTAATCAATTATTATCAAATATTATAATTTATACACGAAGATGAACGGAGGGAAGAAAGAAAAAGATTAACGCGATTTTGTAAATATCACAACTTTTTTTTTTACTTTAGATTCGAACGCAGAAACTCCATGGTTGTAAATTGTTGCAATGTTTACATCAGCGTATGCATACCGGCATACCGGAAATCAGCTCCACTTTGAAATTGTAAGAAATTTGTAATAGAACTCGACATCTATCATTAGCGTTATAATTTTGATTTATATATTCTCGTTTAGAATGACCCATTCCGTTCATTTCGTTTTCTATAAGCATCTAACAAGCTGGCTCTTGTACGGGCATCTAGAGGATGTCCACAGAGAATTCTTCATTCAGAAAGCATTGGATTGTGAGAAAACTCTGGTGCATGAGGATGCGAAGAATGATATTGATACACGCGATCAATTAGCAAATAGTAAAAATATCGGTGTCAATATGTGGGATTATGATGTTCAGATGGACATGCTTCCATCCTATATAAGGCCATCATTGGCAAACAAAATCTTGACCATTGGTCAGACTGTGATTATGTTTGGAAATGATCCCAGGCAAAAGAAAGGTAATTCTACGAAAAAAAATCGACCTCAATTTCTTTCAAGAATATTACTCTGTTATTAATTTCCCATCATGCTTTAGGGATTACAATATAATTACATAAAGATAAATATCTGATAACATTTTAGATTTCAGTACGATGTCTAAAACGGAGAATTCCGTATGGGGCGACAAGGAATATGAATATTTTAGAAAACTTCAGAATCTCCAGGCGAAATCCGTTTTCAACATTGTCGAGTTTGACCGCACAATCAACGAATTAAAACAGTGCGTGACGGAACTTCTATGGAACGTTGCCGTCGAAGAGGCGCAACTAATGCAACAACTGAGACTGGTGAAGGAGTTCTTTCTCATGGGTCGCGGTGACTTGTTCTTGGAATTCATCAAGCTTACGGCACATATCCTAAATAAGGCACCAACAAATCACACATCTAGAGACATTAATCTTGCATTTCAAATAGCGCTAAGAAAAATGCATTTGAACGATGAAAGCGCTATAGATAGTTTTAATTTCGCGGTGCCCGTGCCACCTTCCGAAAACGAGGACGTGGACACGGACACCACTGACCTTCCTGATAACGAGAGACAAGATCCCAACGGTGCATATTTATGATACATTATTTTGCGAGCGCATCACATTTTATTTTTTAAATATTTCAAAATAAAACAAAAATTTGAATTTATTTTAGAAAAACGTGGATGGGGTCTTATCACATTAAAATACAAAGTTGTTTGGCCGTTGCATCTGTTATTTAGTCCAGTCGTGTTGAACGATTATAATATTTTGTTTCGCTTCCTGTTGAGAGTTAAAAAGACTCAGATAGATTTGTGGAATCTCTGGAGTGAACACATGCATCATAAAAACATGTAAATTACATTTATCATAATTACAGTAAAATTGAGATTTTTTTGTTATTCACGACTCACGATTTCTTCATAGCAAAATATTTGTAATTCACAGCGACATTGGTGTGATCCAGTTGAGAAATAATTTGGTCTTCATTGTCGACAACTTACAGTATTATCTGCAAGTGGACGTGTTGGAAAGTCAATATGCCGTGATGGAAACGAGTATGAAAAGCACACGAAATTTCGAGGACATACAGAAGGCGCATTCTATATTCCTGGCTAACGTCATGTCGCAAACCTTTTTACTGGGCAATGGAGCAGGAAAGAAAAATTCTGTAGGTTCTATCACAGAATGAAATGATTTGATTAATTTGAAATCAATCTTTTCTAAGCAAAAACATAAGTCATTATTTCGCATATTTACAATATTCGATATTATTTTTTCAACAAAACTACAAAACTTCATTAAAATTTATTTAAAATTAGTTGAAGAATGAGAATCTACTATCTGTATTTATACAGTTTAGTTTCCAAAAAATTATTTTTATATGCTTAGAATATAAAAATTATTAGTTTTGCTTTTTATTAAGGTTGGTATGCGATATAAGAGATTCACAGATAAAAATTGGCTCTCTCAATCTGAGACACTCTGTCCATATTACTTCGTTTGTTCTTAATATTTATAAATATTTTCAACAGGTAAATATGTTGATACATCTTTTGTTACGATTATGCGACGATTTCATCTTACAAGCGTCCATGTGGGAAGTCGGTAATTTGCTTCTAACAGAGAAAGAGGAACTCAAAACATTATGTGAAACACTCGACAGTGTGATGGACTGGTTGACAAAGACCTTAAACAGAGTACGTGCACAACCCTGTGGGGAACACTTGGCTCGATTGTTATTGAGACTAGATTTCAATAGATGGTTCAGTAAAAAAGTCTGAAAGAGGTAAAACACAAATCTACATATCAAATTACAAATAAATGCTGATATAATCCTGTGAAAAAAGGATAAAGAATTATATGGCTTTCTTGATTTTTTTTTGAAGGATCCAATGTTTAGAGGAAAATAACAAAAGATCAAATAACGCTATTAATATTTTTCATTAACAAAAAATAAAATGATGCAAATTTGAAACATGGGAACTTGTATTTATGTATAAAAAAATATTCTAGTCTATAGACATGCTCTTCCATAGAGATCGACTTCTATATTTCCATGTATTATGTAATTTGTAATTTATAATCAATAGAATAATTTTTATTGTGATTAATATAGTTTTAATATACACTTGTGTATATTAAATAATCTCTTTACAGATCATTGCACACTTAAATATTATTATTCTGAAAAATGATACTAATGGCAGTAATGATAAAACGTTAGTACGACACACATGTATATGTGTTTATGGTGTACATGATCTTTTTATAATAATATAATAATAATAATATATGTCAATCTCTTTCAATCAAAGAGAATTTTAACTCATTATTTCATATTAATAATAGACGATGTATAATACATATATAACGAATACGACGATATATATATTACGAATATATATCACACAAGTATAAAAGAATGCTTCTTAAAGCATATGAGCATTATTTGAAAGATCTTTTAGACATTAACATTATTGTTTGATATATAAAATTCTTATTTTATGTTATACGTGAAATACTTATTTTGTTTATAACATATGGAATTCTTATCTTACTTGAAATTTCTCAATCGCTATCGTCGCTATCGTTATAATCTTCATCGCCGTATCCACATGTACTATTATCGTATCGACGTTGCCACAATTGTATTGCGTTTTTGATGGATGCATCAGAGGATAATTCCTCTGCGGTGAAACCGTCATTATTCTTCAATGTCGTGTCTGCATTGTGTTCCAACAATAAATTTATCATCTCCAAGTGTCCATGACTCGCTGCCACATGTAGTGGCGTGTCACCCATTTTATTCTACAATTAATAGAAAAAAGCGAAAATTCAGAAATAGGGGGATCCTTGTTAAAAATATATACAAAAGAAGAAATAACGACAATAAGTCTAAAACAAGACAATGTAAGAGTAAACATTTGATATAGCTCATATTTAATGCTAAGTGTGTTTATCTAATTTGATGGGTTTTGTTCATCTCATGTCAAATATCTCCTTAGATGTAGTGTTACAAAGAGTTTTGAATTATACAGCTACATTTAGCGTTAAAGATGATTAAACGCCTAATTCTTTGATATACATGGATGTCCATTCCCTTACTTGAGCATTTATCACAGGATTTGGCAGATGGAGAAGCTCGCTTGCACATTCCAGATGGCCAGTACGTGCTGCCCAATACAACGGCGTGTTCCCGGCTGCATCTAAACCGGTCCCCGATATACCCTGCTTCAAGTATTCTCTCAGGAAGGAGACATTGCCACGTCTAGCAGCATCATGCAGTGGCAACTCGATTTCTTGCGTTTGCTCTTTCACTGAGATGAAAGATAATTGATATTACTTTAGAGGGATTAAGAAAATTCGTGTAATCCTTCTCACCGTAAGCAACAGGTATAAGTCCCTTCTGATCTCCGCATTTAGCCCTCCACCAGTCTGGGTTGGTATCTCTGTCGTAAACATATAGTAGATCGCCCTCGTCGAATGATAATTCTTCTGTCTGCAAATAGAAATATGGTCACGCATTATTCTCAGCATATGAGAAACGTATCGGACTGACAGATCAATACACAAGATGTACTTACACGTTGTGCATTGTACTTGCACAATGCCCTGACCACTTTTACCTTACCTTAAAGTTAATGTAATGTTGTGTTAATACATTTATATTAAATATTACTTTATTTTAAAAATGAGAATTTTTGCGAATCAATTATGTCAAAATAACAATATACGCCACACATATATTTAATAAACTTATTATTCTAACCTCTTTTTATAATAATACAAGAGAAGTATGTCACACAAAACACATGTTCTTTCAGTGATTATAATATAATTTGTATGGTTCTTTCAGATCATGTTGCTTCTTTCCTTATATAATATATATTTTAAGTACGTATATAGTTTATACTTTATAAAATTTTCTTTATAATAGATTGAGACATTGGCTTAAGGTACATATGATATAACCTTAAAATTTATATATTATAATTTTATTAAATTTGCAAGAAAAATAATAACTTGAACATAATTAATATAACAAACACAAAATCTATAATACATATATACATACATACATAAATCCATACATGTATATATAAATGTTGAAAATTTTTCCCATCATATATACATCATCATTCAGTTAGAAGCAAGGAATGCTTCAGGAATTTTACAATAATTATTTCGATATTATTATAGAGTTATTCATAAACAGATAATAAATTGCATACTGTAATGCTGGACAAAGTTATTAACTCACATATCACTATTTTGTGATATATTTACCAGGTTTCCAGGTAGTTTTAGGTGGTACAGGTGTTTTTAAAAGTACACTCATGGCTGTGTGTAATACTAGCATCATAATATCAATCCAATGACTCACATGGTCGAGTTCACAGTGATGTACACAGCATTCTGTGTAATGAAAAATTCTTCAAACACACAAATTATTGTCTAAATCTTCTTTTTTGCCACTTTCATAAATAATACCATGTCTGAAGTAAAAAAAAAAAAATTAATTTGAATTAAAATTTGACAGTTGACATTTTTATAATCAATGATACATATAAATAATGCAAGCTAGAAATTTATATTGAGCAATAAATAAAGACAAGAAATTTCCAACTGTATTATCTTAAAAAATATCATAACTGTTGTACCAAAATACTCACTAAAAAATACAACCAAAACAAAAGCTATCATAAGCCACACCCAACATCTCCATTTCGAATTAGTGTGCTCTTCTAACTTTAGAGATTCTTTCTTTAATTTAACAGCATTAATGTCAGTCAATTTGTCAGATGTTTCCAGTGCACCAATGTCCTTTTTAATGATAGCGTTTGCTGCTAATGCTTGTTCCTTCATACTGCTGGTCATGGAGAGCATATTCTCAGCAATTTTCTCCTGGATATTACGATTGTATTTTAAAATAGCATCTAAATCTTCATCTTGGATGTTAGAACTTGATAATCTCTGTCGTACACCATCTTTATCTGTAGCTGCAACACATGACAGATTTAATATAAAGCACAATACATAAAATCATATATTTTTTACAATTACACATTATGTAAAGTAATAAAAGAACAGTCACTTTTGTCAGTGTGAAATAACTCCGCCCGTAATTCTCGATTATATTTCGCTATGGTCTTCTGATGTATTTGCGTTGTGATGTTTGTATTGATAGAATCGTTTGTAGAAGTTGAATTTTTTGATAATAATTGTGCAGCGATCACTCTCTCTACTGGGTTTGATAATTTCATTGCATTTATTATCCCTTTTAGAAAATCTATCCGTTTAGTATAGCCTATCATAATATCTTTGGATGGTTTACTGTGAAAGAAAAATCAACTCTTTAATATCAGAACATCTACATCTATAACCGAAATAATGCTAAATATCCAAGTGTGTCCTAAAATAATATATATTATATAAATAATATACTATATTATAAATAAAATATACTATATTATAAATTGAAAATCTTACTTTGGTAAGGTTTGCAATTTGTTTATCATGTCATCCAGAGCAAGTATATACTGAAACAAAAAAATGTATACTTATCAAGTATGCACATGTATGTTTTATATGGATAAATAGATCTATAGATTTATCTTCGTTTTTTTTTTTTTTAAATAGATGTAATTATCATGAAATAAACAGCCACACACAGTGTGTATATAATATTAAAAAATTCATATAAATAAAGTTGTAAATATTTATATCTTAATTTTTTGCGATTATTGTGTACATAAATTTATTCCAATATTTTTGACGAAATGTCATATTAAAAGTACGCATTAAATAAAAATATAATAAAAACAGGTTAGAAAGAGCTCGCACACCTTTTCGAGTTTCCAGTCTTGATGCGGATCATCTTTCGCTATTAATTCGCAACGCGTTAAAAGTCGCTTGATATTAATTTCTAGCTTAGATATTTGAGTCATTTAGCCAATTTGTCTAATAAACAAAGACACGAAAAAATATGCGCTTTGTTCAATAATAAGTATGTTGTATCATGTACAGGTACAGGTGACAATCATGTAGCATCTCTTCTTAATGATGCCAGAATGGAGAGATGGAGACACTGATGCTAGCCAGAGATTCGGGACGCGCAACTCGCGCCAAATCGTGGAGAGGGGATAACGCACACAATCATAGAGATGTTTAAAGAGTAAAAACTCCGGATAAGCTACTTGGGGCGCGTTCCACTTAACGACCGCAACGCTCGCGAGCATCATCTGTCTTTGTTTTACTTTCGGTGAACAACAAAGATGAAATGATACCGTGAGCGTTGCGGTCATTAAGTGGAACGCGCCCTTGGTAGCGTCGCGGCCCCTTACATAGGCAAACCGTTGACAAGCTAGAAAGAAATTTTTCATATACTTGGCGTCGCGACGCTACCGCATCGCTTGATATTACTGTCAGATTGTCAGAGTAGTATGGCTGAAGCGTTATTTAAATCTTTGCAAAACGCGGAAAATTGCATGCTAGGTGTAGATTAGGGTGGATTAACGTGATCTCTAGACATATATAAAGTGCTAATATATTGAAAGAACGCTTGAAAAAATGCCAATGTGTATATAAATATGTTATATACAGGGTGAGTCATTTTAATCAACGCACGCAAATATCTCGTAAAGTAAGCAAGATGGAAAAAAATGTTTTATACAAAAGTTGTAGGGTTCAGAGGGGGACACACGATGAAAATATGGACTTGACCTTGAATGACCTTTTCAAGGCCAAGTCAATATGATCGATGTTTTCTTAAACGGAACCCCCTATTTTTCATTGCATATTCTTGTAGCTTGTCTCGAGAGCTTTTCAAAACACTATAATAAAGTATATTGATCATTCTCTTATTTAGTCGAAAATCTTTAATGATATCAATATAATGATATCAATTTAATATTAGTGTAAGCATTAATGAGCGAAAAATAACAGGAACTTGATTCTAGGACTTCCCTCTCTCAGCTGGCAAGTCCCTCTGCTGATATGAGCCATACAGCCATCCTTTACCACCGTATTTTCTCCGCTCGATTAAAGATTCCTCTAAGAATCTTACATTAGTTATATCCATAAATTAAATCAACATTACTAGCATAACTGATATAATTAAAACATGGAAAATTTAAAAAATATTTGAATAAAATCATTATTTTAGATTAGGAACAAATATTATCAAGTTTTATATATACATATTAATATGTTTAAAAATATTTGAATAAAATTATTATTTTAGATTAGAAAAAAATATTATCAAGCTTTATATACATATACATATTAATATTTTAATTTTTAGTTTTAATCAATAAAAATTAAAAATTCTTGATAAATCGTTTTTTTTAAGTTAGAAATTATTTTCTAAATTTCTAATATCATCCTATGAAATTTATTTTTTTTAATTTCCAAGATTAGAGTGAAATTGTTATTATGATTATGAAGAGATTAATGAAAAAGTAAAAAGATTCTATTGTTTTACAAGGCTTCGCTGGGATTGCAGGATACTACAAGTGATGCCAACAGAAACACGTTGCTACGTGAAAGTGCTTTATTCCTTTCGAAGATCGTTCATCGCAGACAATGGCGTCGGGAATGCCGCTCTCATTTATCGCGCAATATGTGTGCACGCGTGCACGAACTCGCGCGCGCGCGCTCGCACACGTGCACGCGTATGCGTACATATATTTATATACACACATACATATATATATACGCGGTGGGTGTATTTTCGAATCTGCCCGACTAAAAATAACCGGAACGCGTTTCGCTGCATTCCACTGTTGTTGTATTTAAATCCCCGCGCGCCGTGACATACACACATACATATATATATACATATATATATATATATATATATATATATATATATATATATATATATATATATATATATATATATATATATATATATATATATATATATATATATATATATATATATATATATATATATATATATATATATATATATATATATATATATATATATATATATATATATATATATATATATATATATATATATATATATATATATATATATATATATATATATATATATATACGTGTGTTTTTATATTTATATATAAATATACATACCCTCTAATATATAAGCGATTCTAATTATCGAGTAAAGTACCGTCTGATATTAAAAAATACGCATGTATATGTACATATACAATTACAACACACGCCAGGACGGCAGGAATCCTGGTCCAGCGAGACCTTAATAATGCTTTTTTAGAACGAAGGTCAAAATGTACAGTATATATATTTTACATACTTATCGTTTCAGCAATAACAATTTTATTGTACGTAGACTTGCAAAAAGTAATTAAATCATGACAGTGGTACATCGCGTATTGGACGGAAGGGCCCAAAACACTGCGCAGAAGTGTGAGAGGAAATTATAGATTTAAGTTCGGTCGAGGTGCGATTGCTTCTTCGTATTATCTGTTTCTTGCTTTTTCTCTCTCTCTGTCTCACTTTCTCTCTCTCTCTCTCTCTCTCCCTCTCTTTCTCTCTGGCTTTCTCTCGTTTTTTTTTCTCGCTAAGCCTCGCTTTCCTTCTTGCCCTTATTTATTATCTCTTTCGTTTTTGCTTTCTTTTTCTCACATTCTCTCCTCTCAGGTTCTCTCAGATTCTCTCTATCTCTTTCTCTTTCGCTCTTCATTTACACATACGTGCTTATTCTACCTTCCTATCTTTTGCAAAAAGCGGTCCAGCTCGCGTAACACAAACGGAAAGAAGTTTACGTCTCAATAGTGAAAATATTGATTAAAAATCGGGGGTAAAGGGGAAAAGTCATGGCGTCTGTGGGGATGAGAAACAGAATCTTGGCTTATAAAAAACTATCCTGTCGAAGCATGCCCAGTAATACCAGACAAATGATATCGCATTCATCTTTTTCTCCGTTTGATCTTTCTATGTTAATCCTCTCCTGTGATAGTAATGACTTAGTATGTTATTTCTCTTCTTCTTCTCTTATATCGCGCATTTATCTCCTGTTCTTTTATATTACAATAATTAACACCGTCACATACAGACTTATACACTAACGATATGACTACAGCTCCAAACCAGCAGAGCATTCATCGATGAAGAAGTGAGAATAATAGTTTTTACGAATAATTTTTCTCCCTCTCTCTTTCTTTTTCTCTTTCATACTTACTCATTCACACGCATTTTCTTTCATGCACATGTTTCCTTTTGCTCAGTTGTACGCTATATTTGTTCTTTTTCAGAAGGAAAGTTTTTCTTTCACACGTTACCCTCCCTTCTTTCATTCTTTCTCGCGATTGATAAGACTGATATGCCAATTTATTTATAAAATGTTATAAATTATTTGTGAGCGCTTTCTCATGGCTTTATCATGGGCTTGGAGTGGCAAAACTGCTGTTGTTATCGATATTTCTTAATAATTGATATTATATTAATATGCTTAAAGATGGCAAAAGTCGATATTTTTAGTCAATTGATATTCGCAAAACATTATTATTGTTACTGCTAAATACGCTGAAAGTGGCAGAAACGTATATTTCCAGAATACTGATATTATTTTTGCCATCTCTGAAGACCGAAGAATCAATATTCAAAAAATATCGATATTATGTTGCCATCTCTACAGGCTCGGGATAGTTCGTGATCCTTTCAGTATTTAGCGAATGCATATTAGCAGAGATGAGGTTGCCATATTTTTCTCGCCCTTTTAAGACGATTTCACACGGATCACAATCAAATTAAAACACGAACCACAACTGTATTACAATTGGATTACAATTAAATCCCAATCGATTCGATCGCAATTGCATCACGATGTAATCGCAATAAGATCGCACTTGAATTACATTCAGACGCTAACAATGGTTTGATTTGTACATTCTAAAGTTCCATGAGCGCCAGGAACTTATAGGTCTAACAAGTCTAAATTCTCCATTGGACACTCTAGCGGAACGACATACAAGTATATATTCTCCTACATCAAAGATTTCGCACGAGAACGAGACAACATTGCTCGTGTGAAAAACAAAATGGTATGTATTAATTTGTGACTCGTGTGAAATCGATTTTATTTCTCTTTTCCTTCGCGATTGAGAAATTTTCAGCGCGTTTAAGCACCCATTTGATTTCGTATCAGCGATCGCTTGACATCGGCCTATCTCTAATTAGCGATAATTAATTAATTGGCAGCGAAGAACTCTTTAGTTATGCGAATCGGAGAGTTTCCGATTAACCGTTTGAGCGCGTGTAAGAATATTTGATGTAATAAAATATATGCTTTATATTGCGCAACGTTAAATGCGATTGCCTGATTCTAAAGAATTCGGTGTAAGATGAAAATTAGAGCCATATATCTGACGTTGAATGTGTAACGAGATTGTTCAAAATAGTTAATAATAAAATAGCCATAAATTCAACAAATTATTTCATTTTGTTCGAAAAAAAATTGTATATTACTTGAATTTTATATGTTTAACGAATATACTTTGTCTATGATATTTTTCTTATAACAAAAAGCAAGATTACATATATTTTTCGTACATATCTTAGGCAGAAATGCTAAAAAGTAAAATCGAAGATACGTATTTTAGCAGTCAAACGGTTAAGTCGCGCAAGTTATACACAGCTATTTTCGAAATTAGCAAAATCGAATATCTCTCTATTCACGCACACATTTTATGATATTAATTATGAAAACTGAGCTTAAATCAACTAATTGTCAAAAGAAAAAAAATACAAATTGACATTATATTCTAATCATAAATCAAAGTTACAATTTTTAATATGTCATATAAGAAACAATCAAACAAATGACATTAATTTGCAAGAAATTTGCGCAATATCAAGATAATTTCTCGCTCTGGTATTCATTCTTCTAGAATTTATTCTTCACATTTACCCCGTTTTGCCTCCCTCTCATCCTTTTCCGCGAATCGTTGATTCGATTTTATGAGAATACCTTGTTGGAGTACTATAACTATATCTGTAGCAGGTCCTTTGAGAATACATCTAAGAACTTTGCATGCGTTTTAAACGGTTCAAAATAAGAAGAAGAAATTAATTAGTTTATTAAAACATA